CTTGTGTTTATTAGATCCAATCTCAAGACAGAACTCTCACCAGACTAAACCCTAGTTCCCAAGCCAGCCAGCCACAACACCGTGAATTCCTTAGGGTGGTCATCTTCTTGAACTTCCCACGCTCGTGTTGGGAGCTAAGAACACGCTTATCTCCCTGAGCCTGGCCTTCATAAGTCCATTCCATCACAATATGGCATTTCTTACGGAGCTAAGAACACGCTTATCTCCCTGAGCCTGGCCTTCATAAGTCCATTCCATCACAATATGGCATTTCTTACGGAGCTAAGAACACGCTTATCTCCCTGAGCCTGGCCTTCATAAGTCCATTCCATCACACATATCATGCTATGTCAGTCACAAGGGAAACCATCTACCCTCAGCTTTTTAAAGCTATATTAAAGGATAGCCCATTCCCAATGAGCCTCACTGAATAAAATTGGATTTACTTCTGAATAAGCATTCATAAAGTTGAGTTCAAAGTGTATTCAAAATATGTGATTGTGGTCTCTTTAGAACAAGACAAAGTAATTAGATGAAACCTTCATTGTAAAAGCATCACGTCCCTATTTAACAGGAAAGATACACCTTTTACTATTTCATCTTGTTTGTGAGCTTATTATAATCACTGAAAACAGAAAGCAGTAGCATTCATATTTTATTTTCAGTAAAATGCAGTTCCTTTAAAAAAGAATTCACGCACACTTGCGAATCTTTGGCTGTAAGTCTGTGGCTTCTTGGAATTTCCATAGACTGCAGAATAGCAGGCCGTAATATGAAACTGGCACATCTTTTGGGATGTTAGTCACATTCAGTTTTCCATTTGAGATATAAGAGTGCAATCCAGCCAAAGTTTAAAACAAGAGCACACTCTTACATTTCTTCTACTGGATGCCAATGAGACTAAACAAGTTTCAACTTTGGCTGGACTGCCTCCAAGATCGTTGCAATTCCAAATTAATTCTCTGCCTAGTTGGCTGTCATCAAGAAAAGCTTGTCTCTGCTGGGGACAAAGTAATTTCAGGAGACTGTTCATCCAAGAACTGGCTTCTCACTTTCTTTTCTAAACACTTTTTTTGGAATTAGTAACATTCTGTGTATGGTATCATTTCTTACACAAGTTCTTGTGACTGAAATGGTTTAAGGAAGGTTAGCTCAGTGAAAAATGGTTCTGAAAGAGCCAACTTGGGCCCTTTGCTTTTAAATGAATAGGTTAGGGAATTTAGGCTGAGTTGACTTCCTGACTTTACATGGTATTGCTTTGGAAAGTATTTCATTTACTCTGAGTGTAGGAAGCAATATAAAATATCATGGTGTTCCCTCTAGGGTTGCTGCTATTTATTTCAGTTTGTCCAGGGCTCAATAATTTTAATTATCAGCATTTAAAATAGGTTCAAACTGCTAAATAGAAAGGAAGATAGGATATGTGCAAAAAGACTTTGTGTAATGGTATGTGGGAATGACCTTGGGAGACAGGAGGAAGAGCTGCAGAGTAGCAATGGTCAGACAAGCAGCAGCTGAGTCTGCAGAAGGAATGGGTATGTGACAAACATCTCAGAAGGGACCCTTAAGGCAAGTGGGGAGAGACGTACTTTCAGACTTGCATTATTGTTGTCAGCCTTGTGAAGTATTCCAGACAAGAAACACACCTAGAAGTACTAGCTCTAACTTTATTGTAAGGCTACATTAACATAATCTTTTTCCTACCCTCCATCTCTCTCTCAGTACTTCCCAGTAGACCATGAGAAGGGCAGATTGTTCATCTCAGAGGTTTGATTATGGAGTGTTTCAGAAATTAGGCTAAAGACTTCCTTGTGCTAAATCTGCAGTGTGTGCTTCTCCTTTTGAATATTTTGTAGATACGTAGGTTACGATTGGTGCGAGTTCAAATCGTGTGAAATTCGATTTAGTGCGATTTATAAATTGATACCAGGTCATGTTTAACATGAGCCAAAATTCATTTAGGGCAGTGTTGTCCAAACTTGGCCACTTTAAGATGAGTGGACTTCAACTCCC